CACAAGAAGTTTGAAATCTTCTATGCATGTCTTTAAACAAAATGTAAACATTATCTTTAAAATACAATGTATATTTCTTTAAATTTTAATTGCTAATGTATTTTTTTAAAGCAAATTTTCTCTTTTTTTAAGATTCATTTATTTATACAAGCACTGGGTACAGTCAGAAGCACGGGAGAGTGAGAGAATTCACCAGAGCCAGAGCGGGGAACAGAACAGGCAGACTGAAGAAGTACACTGCTGAGGGGAGCAGCGGGCGGCAGGAGAGGTCTGAGCACCATGTGGGACCCTTGCCCAGCAGCCGGGGATCAAACTGTGCTGCAGAGGCTGCAGGCAGCTTCGCAACCCAGCGCTCAACTGCTGTGCCACCAGGGAGGCCTTGCTAATGCATTTTTGTAATAATAGTAAGCTTCCTTTTAATTGTTCATGCTATAAAAAAAACTGAATTAGATTGTTGCCAAGTATATACAGAACCATCTACTCTGAAAATTTAGTCAAATATGGAGATGTGGGAATGTAATACTCATCAAAGATCTAAAGCAAGCATATTTTTAGGGTTGAATGCAAGTTTCTGCTGGTTATTGTCCCCAAATGAAGATGTCTTATTTGGTGGCCCCTTCATTGTCTAGTGGGAAGTCTTAAAATTAAGAACTAAGGGTGATCATTGCCCAGTGAGCCCTTTATAGCTCTCCTTTAGTTTGCAGAATAGTTGTTTAATCAGTCACTCCTAGTGAAGCCATTAAACCATGTGACAAATCATGATTGTAGATATGTGGGGAAAGGAATGCTTGCAATAGTTTAATGGTAATGTAGTGTGCAATTAATGTTAAGTAGTTTGTGATACATTTTTATGCATGATGAAGCAGCCATTGGGAGGGTTTATAGCAGAAGGTTCTTTAGAGAGGAATCTGGTGTCAACACAAATTGTGCCTTGGCTGATGTTCTGGGTCTCAGGCTTCTTTTACAAATAAAAGGTTAGGTTTCAAATTCTCCAATTCTATTCCTAAGACAAAGTTCCACAATAATTTTTTAATATACTATATTATAAATTCCTACTATATATGCAGACTTATTAGGAATTTAATCACTTTTTCATTTTATAGGCTTTGCTACATATGAGAAAAAGCCATTTTGATATGTGTGACAGTATAACTTTAAGAAAACTTCATAGTATGCATAAAATTCCCATCTCCATCCATTCTCCTTATGCAATACTAAGAAAATAACACAAAAACATACATTTTAATAAATACTTTCCTTTCAACACTATACCAAAAATTGTATCCAGGAAGGCCACAAGCACCCAGTTACATAATCAGGTCCAGCCTGTCCAAATATAAAAGATCTAATAAATGTGCTAACAAACTGTTGAATGAAACATTGCCTCCTTTATAAAAGTAAATATAGCTTTATGGCAAAATTTTTTAAATGTAAGTAAAGCATCATTGCAAAATTAACTTCATTTTCAGCCAAACACATTGTGGGGTAAGGCAGTCTAAGCCGGGGAGGAATTTCTTGAAGACTTACTGACCCCACATCCTACCCCTGGGCTATGCTTAAAAGTTTTGAAAGAAGACTGGGTGGGAAAGACAGATTTTAATTGAGACTTTTCAGGTTTTCCTTTGCTTTTCTTTGCTTTAGTAATGAAAGCAGTGATGGCATTATGTGTCCCCCTACCGCTAGCTCTCCCCACTCCATACTCATTTCGCCTTCCCCCACCTTCCCACCTCAACATCGCTTCACACTTAGGGGACTTCCAAAGCCCACAGCCACTCCCTCACTGAAGATCCATGGACACTTTGAGAATAGCCATCCCTCAATAACCACCACGAACTAAGAGTGAGGACACCAGCTGCAGGCAGCCCCGTTGAGAAACTCCAGGAAAGAGTGCTACAGGGTGAAAAGTGGGCTCAGGAATTGTGGAAAAATCCAGTGTCCAGTATATTTGACATGGTTTAGAAGGTAGAATGCTCTGGTTAGCCATGTGCCCTTTACCTTGATGGGGTAGAGTGGCAAAACAGGCTCTAGTACCCTCTGGAATAGAGGCCCTGTGAATTTTGTCACTCTAGTAGTACTGTGATCAATTCAATTCTTAGACTTGGACACACACACACACAGAGTTGTGAAGTTGAAGTATATTCAATATGGAGCATTAAGAATACTATCATATTGCACAGATAGTATTAGTGATAGCAGGGAGGATGGAAGGGCAGAATGGAAGACAAAAAAATAATGTACACAATTTCTATTAAGTAATAAGAAAACATTATAATTTCTTCAGTGTGAAGAAAAAAAGTCTTAGCTATCTCTTCTGTGAAGAAAAAAATGAACAAGTGTCTAAAACTCTTTATAGACAGTTATATCTTAAGTGTCTATTCCAGATTCTCATTTTCCTGCTTTACTACCTAAGAATGACTTTTTAGAGGTGCAATTAATGACTCCTTTCTCTTTCACTAATATGAGAGTATACTTATTTCATTGGAAATCACTATTATATATTATTTTATACTTCATATCTTCTGTAACTTTGTTCATATGTTAGTTTCATATAGTACTTAACCTTACAAGATATTATTATAAGATAAGAAATTATCAGGAGAGATTTAATGCAGAAATAACAATGGTATATGGTGTTCCTACTTATTCATTTATGCTTACATAACTTTGAAGGTGCTCAAAGGGTTCCACAAATATTGAGTCATTAAACCTTAGTACCCCTGTGAGGTGTACTTGGCTATTATCATTATAGCTTATTATTATTCAGACAGATCAAGTGTTCCCTGGTGTCCTGAATGGCTTTTGCAGAAAGTGTTGACTTTTTAATATTCAGCATCTGAGAATCACGTATCAGGTTTATATAAAATTAACTCATTTTTCTGAGGATTGTCTCTTGTGAGTTATCAGCCATCATCCACTTCAGGTAGTATAGCAAAAATAATACTACCTGGCCTTTAGAAATCCTTCTAGTTGAAAAGTCATTTTGTTTCTTTCCAGAGATAGGGAGAACAAATACCTAAGGGCTAAAAAGTAATCAGTGGATTGTTAGCTTTCCAATGCCTCTAAGCAATTCTCCAATTCTCAGCAGACACCTACTGGTTATCCTATATATTTAATTCAATTCTGACACTCTACCTGGAGATAGGATCAGACCCCACAGGTTAAGGGTTCATTTCCAAGAATCCGCCACCACTTCAGGCTGTCAACAACACTTCTGACTAACTGGTATGTCAACTGAAGTCCCTGTGACCCCTTATTCAGGTCTGGCAATTTATTTAAATGACTCACAGAGCTCAGGGAAACATTTGCTTAACATCTACCAGATTATTATTGAAGATGATTATAATGGCTAGAGATGAACAGAATATTTAATTGGGATGAGGTGAGGTCTAGAGGGTTGTGAGCACAGGAGCGTCTGTGCCCATGGAAATGAGGCTTACACCCTTGGCATGTGTATGAGTCACCAAATTGGAAACTTTCCAAACCCAGTTATTTTGGGTTTCTATATAAGCTTCATTCCATAAGCACGATCCTGAATGAGTGACCTCAGTTTCTAGCCCTTCTCCCCTCCTCAGAAATCTGGGGGTTGGGTTGAAAGTTCTAACCCTCTAATCACCTAGTGGGATCCCCTGGCAGCTAGCCTCCATCCTTAGAGGCTTTCAAAGTCACCTCGATAACAGAAACTTAGGTATATTTGGACCAGAATTGTTATGAAAAATGAAAGACACTTTTATCACTCTACCACTTAGAGAAATCCAAGGGTTTTATGGTGTGAGGAATGGGATGAAGAACAAATATGTATTTTTTTACTATGAATCAAAATATCACAATGGGTGACAAAAGAATTATTGGTATGTTTGCTAGCACTCGTTTAGAAATATGCAATGTGCCTAGATTGTACTAACTCCATTCCAGATACAAGGAAACTGAGGTTTTGAAAGTTTGAACATTTCGGAAGGGCACAGTTCCCTAAGTGAGAGTTGGAGGTAGACCTCTAGTCTTTTGTCTTTTTTTTTTTTTTTAAAGATTTATTTATTTATTCAAGAACTGGGGTACAGGCCGAGGCACAGGAGGATGAGAGGATTCACCAGAGACAGAGTGGGGAGTAGAACAGGCAGACAGACCAAAAGCACTGCTGAGGGGAGCAGCAGGTGAGGCAGAAGAGGTCTGCCATGCCATGTGGGTATCTATCTCCCTGGCCGGCTAGGGATCAAACCCACACTGCAGAGGCTGCGGACAGCTTCACAGTGCTGCGTTCAACCCCCTATGCCACCAGGGAAGCCCTAGTCTTTTATCTTCCAGCCCAATTCTCTGCCTTCCATTTCTGACATTACCGAAGTGTGGAAGACTTATTACAAGTGGCCCCGGATTTGATTTTTCTCTCTACAAAACTATATTTTAATTGAATGTTTACATGTTTTAAAAATATTTTATTATTCCCATCAAATTGTGGTAACATTGAAATTGTTGCTTAGGAGAAAGCTAAAGTAGGTAGACTCTGTGGTTGGGGTAAGTGGAAATGATGACTATAATTAAGGAGGCGCATTAAAGCCAAAAGTTTGGCAGACCTACTGTGTCATTTCAGATTTTGTTTGAAGTGTGTGTAGTGTGTAGAGGGGTGAGTGAAAATGAAAGGATGAGGTGGGTAATGTAATAGGGGGCTGAAGCCAAAGACTGTTATAGGTGGTGTCCCCTTCAGGGGACGGTGGTAGTGAGGCTTGATAGCCACAGGCTAAATACAAAGTATCAGTGGGGGTGGAAACTTTGACAAGAAATATACCTGGGATTTAGTATCAAGGATCCAGCATTCAGGGTTTCAGCTTTTTCAAATCCTCAGTGATGCTGGGAGTCAGCAATTTCTGCCCTCACCATGCCAGAAGGTTGTTGCCGGTCTTAGAAGGAGGTGGAGAGGCTTCCAGCAGCCAACCTCAGAGAGGAAAAGTTCTGAAACTTTGCAAGCTGTGGAGTGACTGAAACTGTTGCCACTTTTGCTGCTGTTACAGTCTGGAAGAGAAGGCGGAGACCTAGAGGTGGGCTGTTTGAATGTGGCCACTTGGCAGGTAGTTTGGCTGCTGCAGCTGCTGTTTAATGTCAATTTGTCTGGTGCTGTGCTGGGGCATCATGGCAGCTCCGTGAGCATCTCGTGTCTTCTGCTATCTTTGTGAGTTGGATCCTGGTTGCCACATGCTCCTGGCCCTCTGTGGCAGGAAGACACCATCTTGGGAGAGTTTGTGTTTAGGACCTGAAAACACTGGACACTGCTTTGGGTGAAGTAAACGGCCATTTGTGGCCTCAGTAAATCTTTGTTTTCCCAATAAATCACATTGTTGTTGTTCTCTGAACCCGAGTCATCTTGCAGTTGTGCTTGCGGGTGAAGAACTCAGACAGTGACCAGTAAACTACTTTGGGCAGTGTCTGTGGTCAGTTTTAGTGCCCCCGACTGACCTGTATCAGTAACTCTAGCTCTAGTTTCTATTTGGCTTTCTATTTATTTTCTATTTTAAAAATATTTATTTGTATAGTGTTACACCTTATTTTTCTAATGAATTATATTCATTCTCAAAGGGGAGTGCAAGATTATGAAAAAGTGTCTTTCCCTTTTTTGCAATAGGAACTTTGTTGCTGCTTTGCAGCAGGAACAAGATGAAGGACAAAACAGTTGTGGAGCAGGTTTGCAAGGCAAGACTCTGCTACTTGAACAGAAGTTCTTGTGCCATTTATTGAAAGCACACAGGCTAGTAAAAGCTGATCATGCAACAGTGGTATAAGGAATAAAGTCCAGAGGGTAGGATAGGAATGGGGGACAACGTTTTATGAGACACAGGGAAGGGGACATCATGCCCACATGTAAAGAAACATTTGCATCTGCAAAGTATTTGATGTTATCATAGGCAGAGGTATCCCGAGACCACCATGGAGATAGTCATGTCGCCATGGATTTAGAAATGAGCTCCCAAGGAAGATTCATAACCCGCGTTAAGGTAGAGTGACCTTTGTTTCACTGATTCTATCTCTAATGTTCTTCCTTTCTTTATGAAGATCTTAGTTCCTGACCTAAATCTTCTCTCTAAAGATGTTCTTTGAACATTTCTCATCAGGTCAACAGTGGCTTAGGGATCCCTGGGCCTGCCTCATAAGATGGGCTATACTCTGTAGGTAGTCAAGGAATTCTCTGCTGTGATTTGTAGATAAGAAATAGGTCACAGTAGCTAGTAGGCAGCTCATGGGAACCCACATCTCTTGAAGAAGATCTCACTTTCGGGATATTTAACTATGAGCCCTCATAGGTCCTAATCCAAATGTTGGTGTCAATTTACTCTCAAGAAAGCCTAACAAAAGGTCTGTAGCAGGATGGGTCGGGGTTGGGGGGATTTAGAAATGAGCTCCCAAGGAAAATTCATAACCCGCGTTAAGGTAGAGTGACCTTTGTTTCACTGATTCTATCTCTAATGTTCTTCCTTTCTTTATGAAGATCTTAGTTTCTGACCTAAATCTTCTCTCTAAAGATGTTCTTTGAACATTTCTCATAAGGCAGGTCTACTGTTTAAAGATGGTTTTTAAAATAGATTCCCTCAAGGGCCTCTCCTGGTGGCGTAGGCGGTTGAGTGCTGCACTGTGAAGCTGTCCGCAGCCTCTGCAGTGTCAGTTCAATTCCGGCCGGCTGGCGAGGGTCCCACACAGCGGCAGACCTCTCCTGTCTCGCCCGCTGCTCCCCTCAGCAGTGTATTTCAGTCAGTCTGACTGTTCTTTTCCCCACCCTGTCTCTGGTGAATCCTCTCACCCTCTGGCACATCTGGCCTGTACCCCGGTTCTTTTATAAATAAATAAATAAATAAATAAATAAATAAATAAATAAATAAATCAATCAATCTTTAAAAAAAATAGATTCCCTCAAAATTTTGTTCATTTGAGAAAGACATGTTTCTTGTAACACCTGTAGTGCTGGTTTCCAAATTCACAGGTCCTTTACAGTCCAAAAAAGCCACTGGAGTTCCTGATATTAAGACTGGGTTCCAGATAATAGAAAATAGGATGCATGAGAAGAGCATGTCCCCTTTTTCTCAGACCACGGTGAAAAGTCTCAGAGGTAATGCTTCCACTTATATATTATTGCCCTAGACTTAGCGATATGTCACACCTAGCCACAAAACAGGGTGGTAAAGGTAATGTTTTACAAATTGGCACATTTTTACAAAATGTTTTACAAATCGCCTAAAACTCAGTGCTTAAAAAAAAAAAAAAGAGAAAGAGCATCATGAGAAAATTGCATCTCTAACAAAGGAAGTAGTGACATTATTCTTGTAAGGAACTGTGCCATTAGATCATAAGAGTCCCCATAGATAGATGACTAATGAACAAGGAAGCTATTCACACAAAGAGCAGCTGATTTATTAGTCCTTTAGCTACTTTGTTCTTCAAGCTTACATAAATCCAAATACTATAATCACCCCTACAGTGTCAGCACAATTCACCTACATTACATCGTTTGTATATAACTCATAAACGGCATATTTGTTTCAACAAGCATACTTCATGAAAGATTGACTAAGCAATAGCAACTTGATTTCCATAATCTTAAATTGTAAAGCAAGATCCTTACTTCATGAAAATCACTTAGTAACATAGAGAACAAAATATTAAACTGTCTTCATTTAGAAAAATAGATTTTATAAAAGAATTTTTATGTCTATATTACTATATTTATGTAGTATATTAAAATAAAAGATTGTAGAATCTAGATTTAAGAGATATATTAAATCTCTCTATGCAAAATAAACACAGCTGCTTGCACAATATATTTGGATTTATCAAAGTATTCACAAGCAATTATAAAGTCCTGTTTTAGTACCTGTTACTCTCAATGATACTAGAAAGTATGTATGGTGGAAATAACATCTTTTATGTTTTTTCTCCTGAGCATGCTCAGTTCTCTTTGTCTGGAACAATAGTGACTCATACTGTGGTGAGATTATTTCTTCTTTTAATTACATAATTGATGCCAGTTAATCATAGAAAAAATTAAAACTATAAATAACAAAAGATAAAATTAAAACCACATATCCTGTTACTTGCGATTCCCATGGTTACTAATGAGCATTTCTGAATTTTGGTGTGGCCTTTCTGAATTTTGGTGTGGCCCTTAAGCCCACACTGACCCATCTTTTTCCACAAGCTTCCTCTAGTTCATGACTGTGGTCACAACACTATGCCCCTGATAAAAAGCTGTCTTTTGGGACAAACAGACTCCAGGAGAAAGATTGTGCAATAAGAATGCTGGGTGTAGTGAACTGAATAGGTTCCTGTGTCAGAGCCCTACAAATGAACGAAGAGTCCCGCTTTTCTAATTACTCTTCCCCACACTTTTTTCTCCGAAATCTAGAAAAAGCAAAAAGAAGAAGTAGATCAGGGAAGTGAAAGGACAGACCATCCCTCCTCCTCTCTGCCTGTTTTTAACCCAAGAGATAAGGCCTGAACTTACTGGAGAAGTTTTGAATTCATAAAGAGATTGACGCTTTGATTTAAATTCTAACAAGCGTTTTATAGCCTAACATAATAATGTTCTTAAAAATAAATATGTTTTCCCCGTAAGGCACACCACAGCCTTCTTTGTACATTACAAAAATAAGATAGGGGCCTCCCTGGTGGCGCAGCGGTTGAGCGCTGGGCTGCAAAGCTGCCTGCAGCCTCTGAAGTGACAGTTCGATCCCTGGCCACTGGCGAGGATCCCACATGGCGCGCAGACCTCTCCTGCTGCTCCCCTCAGCAGTGTACTTCGTCAGTCTGCCTGTTTTGCTCCCTGCTCTGGCTCTGGTGAATTTTCTCACCCTCCCGCGCTTCTGACTATACCCTGTGCTTGTATAAATAAATGAATGAATAAATAAATCTTTAAAACAACAAACAAAACCAAAAACTAGATGGTACTTCAACACTATGATTAGGGATCATTTTAAAAAACAAAATCACAACCAAACTGTTATAGGGCAGCCTCGATACAAAATGGGGTGCCTGACTGTGGGTCCTCACCCGTGCGCTTAAAAGGACTTATCAATGCTCTACTGCAGGCACACGCGAAAGGTTAATAAAAGGTTTATTTACAAGGGAAGGGGAAATGAGGAAATGTACAGCTCAAGGAGAAAAGTGGGAGACAAAATTTTAAATGTGTCCCACCTGATTCGCCGATCTGGAATCCCAAATGGCACTCAGAGCTGGCCGCGAGCCAGGAGCCATGAAGCCAGGAGGCGAGCGACAGAGTGAGAGAGCCCAAGGCCCACGTGTCTATTTTTTATACCAACCCTGGCTGCTTAGCTCCACCCTCAGGTCCCAGCCACCTTCCCTTTGGTGGTGACGGGATTTGTCTTTCCCAATGTCCTGATGACTTTGGTCTGGAGTAGGGGTGGAGTCCACAAAGCCTGTATGGGATTAGCGCAGGACATCCTGTCCCCCTAACAATTAGAACAAAAATGTGAAAATTGTGTACCTAATTTGGGGTCAAATTACACTCAAGAGGGCCTTTCTGGTGGTGCAGGGGTTAAAGTCTCAGCACTATCAAGCTACCACCAGCAACTGAGGCATGAGTTCGATTCCTGGCCAGGGGGCTAACCCACTTGGCTGGCGCTGCTGAAGTCTCCTGTGTCACCCACTGCTCCCCTCAGCAGTGTATTTCAGTAGATCTGCATGTTCTGATCCCTATGCTGTCTCTGATGAATCCTCTCAACCCTGCACCTCTGGTCTGCACCCCAGTTCTTGTATGCATAAATAAATCTTTTAAAAAACATTATACTCAAAGACAGATTGTCTTTGCCAGTTTATTTTACACAGGTTTATTGAGGAAATTATAATTCATAAAAACAACACAAGTCAATAATAAGCAGGATTAGAGCCCCTTAACAATAAAAGAAATAACATACTCTACAGTAATAATGGATTCATTACACCATTGTTCTAGGCAAAGGGCAAATAAAAGAAATAAAGTACAAATTTAGTTGTTATATCTTTCTAAAAGTTGGTTCTTCAGAGAGTCAGTTTAGCCAACCAGAAGCTGATATCCAGCAGCCAGCACAAAGTGAAAAATCTCCTGCTGCTAAAGATTGATGCTAACCAAGTGAGGGTGAAAGTGTTAGCAGGCAAGATAATCTCCTTCATATGGCTGCAGCAGGATTCTCACCACTTCCAGCAGTCAGTGTCTTCACAGAAGCTAATGCCCCAAGGCCTTTGGAGAGCTATTTATATCAGCAGAGCAGTCTTGTCTGGATAGAAAATTCTTTAGAAGTCCATTACAAGATCGACACCACTGTAGCTACTATGGTGTCAGGGACATAAAGGTCCTCTCTATGTTCATATGGATGAGCACTCAGTAGCACAATTTTGCTGACATCATCGGGAATGCTCATATCAATAAGAAAATCCTAATATCTAAATTTAAACAAATTTATCTAAATATGTCTCTCAAAACAAATTCAGGGCCTCCTTGGTTGCGCAAGGGGTTAAGCACAGCACTGTGATAGTGTCCACTGTGTCTGCAGCACGAGTTCAATCCGCAGCCAGCCAGGGAGCTACCCACAAGATGCAGCAGACCTCTCCTGGCTTGACCGCTGCTCCCCTCAGCAGTGTACTTCAGTCTGTCTGCCTGTTCTGTTCCCCACTGTCTCTGGTGAGTTCTCTCACCTCCCGCACCTCTGGCTTGTACCCCAGTTCTTGTATGCATAACTAAATAAATCTTAAAATAAAACCCCACAAATTCAAACCACAACCAACTTTGTCCAAAATAAGTTGATACCAATGAAAATATGGAAACATGTTTTTATGGATATGAAATAACAATTCAGAATACAACACAAATATGCATGAAAAAGATACCTGTTTACAAGTACCTGCAGACCACTACCTCAGACAGAAGCGTGTACATTAGATGACTGAAAGTTTAGTACCCCTGCGAGTGTTGATTTTGGAGTTACAAATACATTTTAGAAAGGAAGCAAATTTGCAAAGAACTATAAATAATGGATTCTGTGTGTGTATGTGGGTATGAACGTGTCTACATTTTCATTTTTCTATCCCTTATCATTTAAGATGTATTAATAAGTATTTAAGTTAAAGAATATCAAAGAACAGTGAATATCACCTAAAGGCCTTGAATCCTTTTCTGGGCAAAGGGTGTGCTTTCAGTCGTAATTGAGACGGTTGTCTATCGTATTAGGTTGAAGTATAATTTTATCATTTTCTGTATTTCAAGACTAAGCATGGCTTAAGGAGAGATGTATGGGTGACAAGTTGATAAAGGGTGGGCTATGATAGCGTCATTCCTGTATCAACTTGAATAGGATATTATTTCCAGTTACTCAATCAAACACTAATTGAGATGTTGCTTGAAGGCATTCTGAAGACTTTAAGTAAAGCCACATATCAGTTTCCTGTAACAAAAAATAGAATTCTGGATAATGTGGTTGTGCTGACTGAATCTGTTGGAAGATCTTAAAACAGTGGGCTGAGGTTTTCCCAGGAGAAATTCTACCTATGAACAGCAGCTTCATCCTAAATTGTGGAGTTTTATTGTGTGCATGTCTCTCTACCAGGGGCTTGCTTAGCCAGTTCTCTGTTTGTGTAAACCAAATCCTTGAAATACATGCATACATACGAACTTACATCCACACATACTTAATATAGACACAGATACTTAATCTTACTTGGTCTTTATATCTCATTTCTCCTTCCCAGTGTCAGAATTAAGTGTTGAGTTTATTAAGTGATGGAAAAGAAAGCTGAAGAATGGACAAAGTAGACAGAGGAATGGTAGAGACTTGATCCACACTAATGTGTATCTATTCTCATAATCTGCCTTTACAAACCTCCTCCTAAGACTTTGAAGGAGCAGTTTTTGTAGTTTCAATACTTGGTGATACACTGGGCCCTTTCAATCTGAGGACTTACTAGTTTAGGGAAAATTAAAATGGTTACTATTTGAGGTATTTCCCGTTTTCTGTCTGGCACAGATACACCCAGGATCTCTTTTCTTCTCCACGTGTCCGAATTAGTATTTGACTCACATCCTGATTGTCTGACACTACGTTCTGGCATGGACCAGTGGCCCCATGGCTGCTTCAGGCCTATGTTTTGTTGAGCTGTTTTGGTAGGCTAGCCACTACCATTCCAGCAGTTGGACCTGAGTTTAGCTGCACATGGAGATTTTAAGTCCGAGGTGAGACTACTTTCCCAGCTTCCTGAGCAGTGTTGGTGGAGGTATGAATGAATTCTGTCTAGTGGAATGTGGGCAAAAATGATGTGTGATAGTGTGGTAATGTAACCTAAACTGTCAGCCAGTTTCATACTGCTTTTGAGTAGTTATTCCTCTTTCAAAAATTAACGTGTGTAAGGAAGATATATTGCAGTCTGTTCAATCTGACATGTTACAATTGGAAATCTATACTTCTACATTTATTTACTCACAAAATACTGCAGAATGAAAAATTCTAAAAGCAGTGTTGTTAGGCCCAGATAAACATACATTTTAAATTGAGAGATGGCAAATTGCTCTCCGATAGGGTTTTATTCAAATGAAGCGTGCATGATGAAATTAATTTCCACACTTCTCCTAACAATGGTTAATAGTAATATTTTGTTATCCAGTTGAAAAAAATCAAAATTTATTTGCATTTATTTGTGAGTTCAAATGTAAAGTTCAGCACTTTGATTAGTGTTGATAATTGAAATAAAGGTATTTAAATTACAAAGGGTGGGTTTGCATTAGCCTCCTCATTCCATAATAATGAGTAGGTTGAAAATCAAGACCAAATAATCATATTATTGCATTTCCTATGACATGAAATAGAAATAATGCTCATAAAGAGAAAAAACATTTTTAGGAGGCTGCCATATGGTCCAATTTTTCAGTCACAAATAACTAAGCCCTTGAAAAATAAATACAAAAGAATGTATCTGTTATTTGCAGTAGAGTTTCAATTAATTCTGGATACAGTCAACTGGCTGGGTCAAGACTGAAATCCTATTACACTGAACTGTCTAAAACTTTAAATAGGTAGCTTATAAAACAATTCAAAGTGACAGCTTGCTGCCAGGATTTAGGCTACAGCTCTAGATAAACTAAATAGAAATGTTTACCACTGAGAGCAAGTGTCCTTGAATTTCTATACAAGATTTTTCAGAAAGCTGAGAAATCTTAAAATCATGTTCAAAAAGAATTTTTTAAGCAACTATTTCTATATAGTCATTTTGACCTCTATGTAAATCAGTACCTGTTATACATATACCACAGATGTCTTCATTTGTTCTAAATAGTAGAATGTGTGGTTGACAAATTATCAGGCAAAAATGCTTTATTTGGGAAGGATATCCTTTTATATCTAAAGATTAAATAACAGAAGATTTGGGATTAAAATTCTTTGTTGTTCAAATGTTGGCGAGGTTGTGGAGAAAAAGGAACTCTCCTGCACTGTTGGTGGGAGTGCAAACTGGTCCAACCACTATGGAGAGCTGTGTGGAGATTTCTTGACCTACTAAACATAGAGCTTCCATATGATCCAGCAATTCCACTCCTAGGTATTTACCCAAAGGACACAGAAACATCAACTCCAAAGAGCACCTGCACCCCTATGTTTATAGCAGCACTGTTTACAATAGCTAAGCTTTGGAATCAACCCAAATGCCCAAAAATAGATGACTGGATCAAGAAGATGTGGTACATATATACCATGGAATATTACTCAGCATTCAAAAAAGATAAACACATGCAATTTGCAGCAACATGGATGGCGCTGGAAGGGATCATGCTCAGCGAAATAAACCAGAAAGAAAAAGAAAAATATCGTACGGTCTCACTCATAGCAGGAATCTAGAAAACTTAAATAAGGGACCAGGAAAATGAGTATCTATAAGAAAGTCAAAATCATAATCAACAAACAACTATGAACCAGAGACACTTTATGAGGGGAGGGGGGGGGGGGGAGGGATTGGGGTCAAAATAAAGGGGTTGCAATTGCTTGGGGAATGTAAAAATAAAAAAATTAAAATAAATAAATAAATAAATAAATAAATAAATAAATAAATAAAATTCTTTGTTGTTCCAGTATTTTCTTTTTATTTTATATTTTTGAACATATTCTACTTATGAATCTAACATTAATGAAAATGCTGAAATCCTAAAAATGATTCATATTGCATAAAGTCACAAATCTTTTTTAAGGTTTCCATTCAAGATAAATCGTTTGAAATAAAATGGAAAAACCACTTACTAGAAAAGAATTCCATTTTTCCTGATCATTTTCAAAACTGTATGAATAGACTTACAGTATAAACTAAAGCTTGTAGTTCGTTACAATATATATTTCAGTCATAAACTATTGTTAAATTGCATCCTGTAAGGTACAGTTTAAGAATTGCCCGTACCCTATGCTAGGCCAATGGTTTCAGGGGCCACTGGTGAGTACTCAGAGACTGGAGGTCTCTGTTGCCAATTAAATCAAAATAGCTACTTTTGTCACAATTCAGGTTCTAAGATATTACTTCAAAATTAGATTTCACAAATTAAAAAAAAAAAATCTGAAAACCATTGATCAAGGGACTAGAACTCCACCAGGGGGTAAAAAACCCTTCTGAATTTACTAATGATTCTTTTCTCCATTGAAAAATTGTATAGTGGTGCACACCTAGTAGTGTATGTTTCCCCGATGGTTCTGCCAGGATGTTGTGCAGCACATTTCTTCTAACTTCACATCATGCAACTACATAGAAGGTTTTTAAAACTGAAATAAAATGCTAAGTCTAAGTGGAAAAATATAAAATCAACAGTTTAAACCGGTTTTTAAGTTCAGTTCAAAACAAAAAGTTTTGGGCCTCCCCTGGTGGCACAGCGGTTGAGCGCTGGGCTGCGAAGCTGCCCGCAGCCTCTGCCGCACAAGTTTGATCCCCGGCCACCACAAGGGTCCCACATGGCGCGACAGACCTCTCCTGCTGCGCCCGCTGCTCCCCTCAGCAGTGTATTTCGTCAGTCTACCTGTTCTGCTCCCCGCTTTGGCTCTGGTGAATTCTCTCACCCTCCTGCGCTTCTGACTGTACCCAGTGCTTGTATAAATAAATCTTTAAAAAAAAAGAAAAAGTTTTGAGTTCAAACCAAAACCTTTGTGACTTGGCAATTCCCTTTAAAGTATACATTAGAAAGCCACCAAATTTGGTGGGAGAAAGGGACATTGATTAGGCACTGAAAACCAGAAAAGATTGTGGAATTCAAGGAATAGTAAAGTATTTTTTTCTAAGGAAAAGAACAGAATGAACAATGCATTGATGAATAACTGTTTCCAAGAAATGGCCAACATTTCAGTTTGGGTGGAACACAGTGAGGGGGCATAAGACTGAATTTAAGTTGTGCATGGACAATGAAATGTTCTCAACATCGCAGCGAAGACTCAGGCTTTTCTTCATTAAAAGCCAGGATGTGAAAGCATTAGAGATTTCAAGTGTAAGTCAAATTTGAGGGATATTACAGAGAAAGAACAGACAGAATTTAGCACAGATTGGAAGCTAAGTAGATAAAAAGAAATCAAAGATGATACTAAAGTGGAGTTTTTAAGAGCTGTAAGCTAAAGGACTTTCAATATTTCTATGAACTTGTTTATGTCAAGGGAATTCAAAAGCATGACAGGATACATGACGGATACAAATTTTATTTTTCATGCTAAAATTCTTACAAATTTTATTGTCACACAACTATAAGAGTAACAGTTACAACTCAATTTAAAAAATAGCATTTTGAGGACATTTCTAGTCTTTTGCTATCACAAGCATGTTATGCTACATGAACAGCAACAAGAGTTACAATTACAGAACTGCTCAACTTGAAAATTTAGTGTCATGACAGAGGGCCATTATACAATATAAGCAAAGGGCAAGTGCCCAAGTATAGTCTCACATTCTATATTATTCTGTATTCCACATTAGAATCAAGGGTGAGAAACTACCCATTAATATCATTCAAATATCTGACCCAGCAGGTCAAGTCAGCAAGCATTTCAAATCATTTTGCAAAATCTTTATTTCAGTTCTATAAGGAAATACAGACAAAACACACAAGGTATAGCTTGCTGATATTTTATGCCTAAACAAACCATTACATAATGAAATTATGTATCCTTTGCAACTTGGCATTTGTTCCATCTCACACAATAACTATAAGATGAGTAGTACTTACAGCACATAGAATCACCCAACTACAGCTGACGTAGTATCTCCCAGACTTCTAGTTTCTAAAATTCTGGGGGAAGTGGGACAATTTGAACTGTAACAGTCTACATGGTAGTAATATTACCTCTTGGCCATTGGCCCAATACTAATCCTTTTTGTTTCTTAGTATACAAAATATGCTGAAAACATTTCTCTTAAACACATTTCAATTAATGTAATTCCACAGAAGGCAACAATTTCCTTCTAGAAGAGTTAGGTTTAAACTATGAAAAACTTTCCATACATTTGTTAAACTAATTTATGGCATATTTTTGGGGTCAATACAGACCATACTTTATTTTTCAATTCAGAGCCTATACTAAACACATGTAAAAAGAACTACATACATAATCATATTGTTTTTAAAAAAATGGAAATTACCATTTTTATTTTTATAGTAACTTTATAAATACATCACTTGCTTTTATCCAAACTGAGGATGAATTTCCAAAATCCACGGTGAAATTTCTATTCTAAGCACAAAAACACACAAATACTAGTTCTAAATTTCAGCTCACAAGTGAAAACTCTTCACCTTGAAATAAGCAGATCTGGGATACTGGAGTGAAGTTTTTGATTGGTGCATATCACAAATATATTTTAATGTAAAAATAACTTTTGAGGAAATAATGCTTAAGTCTTTTTACCCCACCTTCTAAAACACACATTTTTTTTCTTAAAATAAAAGTTTAAGATAAACAACTCATTAAAAAATCTGATTTCACAAAAAGAGAGAAATAAAATTAATTGCTTTGAGCCAAGTAGTTACAGCTTTCAGACTTTGTAAGCCAAATAATCACATAATGGTTAAGTAAATTTTGCCTTACAACTTCATAACTTGAAATTCAATTCATACCACTTATCAAAGAACACTGCATATTTTTATAAATTTAAAACTTTACATTTTTAAGAGGAAAAATTCTAACAGTTAAGTATGAATAGTCTTAAAATCATGATACACATTTTTATTATACCAAAGACTAGAAAATTATAATATTTTTTAAAATACTATCAAAATCTCAAAGTCTAATACAGTAAATACAACAAATGTATTTTTATAAATAAAACATTTTCAAAGGCTAGAAAGAAAATATGCTAGTTTTGAGATCAATGATGCTTGAGTCACATTCATGATTTGAATATCAAATTTGCCTTTCAAGCTAATGGACATTTCCAACTCTTCACAACTCAATTTCCTCTGGTATAAGAGAGGGGGCAATGAAAGCAGGCCTTTAAGGTAGAGTTTAGAGGGTTCATTGAGGAATAACAGAATAATGCACAAAAAAGACTAGTATAGTATCTGACACCATAAGTAAATAATATAAGTTATATTGAGCAATGACTTACATTGGAGTCAAGTATCTATTATTCAATAAATAATGATTATATAAAGAACTAGCATATTTTCAAAACTTTATAAACCAAACAATGTAGTGTTTGGGGATATGCCCTCCAAAGAAACATCCAGAATTTTATGGCAATATTGATAAAGTTAAGAACTACAAAGGATTTATTAGGCTAATGACTGAAGTCACCTCAGTTATTTTTACTGTGTTTTGGTGTTGCTTCCTATTTTAACACTACAGCTGACACAGTATCTCCCAGAATTCTAGTTTCTAAAATTCTGAGTATCAAAATGACACCACCGTATCATTTCCAATCAACCATTTAGAAGATTTGAAGTGAATTATATTTTCTTGTCATAAATTTTAATGAAAATAATTATTTGATTGGCCCAAAGAAATAAAACAGGCATTGAAAAACTGCACACAGATAAATCCATAATCATTTACATGTTATACACTACAATAAAGATAGCTTTTTAGCAATTTTAAACAATTTATCTGTTATCAAATATGTTCACGCTTTTCTTATTTCAAATCTCAAACATATTAACCTCTGTTATTTACAAATAACCTATTCTGAAAACACATCAGTTATATCTTTATTGAAATGAACAAGGAATACTAAATTTTAACAAAAAAAATCAAGCTATAGATTATGCACTAAAATGTTTTGCGTGTGTTACTTTTCACTTAAAATATGTCAGATACCAACTTAGTTTCCTAAGTCTTTGTCTATCAGTACCATTCTGATTTTCACTATCAGCTAATCAGTTTCTCTAATTTTCAATCATTCTAACTTGAATCCAGCAGGGCTTGCCAAGTATATTTTGAATGACAGAGTATATATATGGAATACAAAAACAAAAACAAAACAAGGTCTGATTCCAAAAAAATAATTCACTGAATCCACTTGATAAGTGATTTTCAGCAAGTCCCTCAACTTTTCATCCTCTCCTTATCTTCTGTAAGATGAGGAGCTTACTGTTCTCAGGTCTGTGGGAAATCATGTTAGAAAAACATGAAAGAGCTCAGAAGTGGCAAAGTGCTATTATACATGTGTAATAGCAATACACAGAAGTTTGTCATAGTATTAGATTTAGGTAGAATGACTAGCTAATTAAAGGTGTAATTTAAGGGAATGTTATTCTTGGAAGGATCAGGAAAAATTTGTAACACCGCTTTCCTGTCCTTTGGCTAAGATCTGACAGCAGTGTTTTTTTAGACTACACTGGCACCTATTCTGTTACCATGTAAGGATAGACATTAACCTAAGAAAAGTTAAAACCTCATTCATTCTTTCCAGATGTTTTTATTGGCAATAAATCCACTTCATTTGAATATGTTTTTGTAGTTCTACTAATTTACAGCCTGCTTTTTTCTAGGCTTATTCTGGCAACTATTTAATACTTTCTGAAAGTGGTCACAGGTGATCTATATTTCTTTACTACAAATTTTTATTTTAAATTCTAGTTTCTTTTCTGACAAACTCAACAGGTATAACAAAGAATTTTTAATTTAAAGAATGAAGAAAAGGTATTTTCAGACAAAGTCACTAAAAGCAAATGTTCCCTCTTTTCTTCAGTAGATATTATGCATGCACTCTAAAATGTGATAAAAATCACAAAACAGGAAAATGGATTTAATTTATAAAACATGCCATCCTTGATTATAAAAAGCAGGAAAATAAATCAAGATTGATTTTTTGAATGAAACATTTGAAGGATGATTCTGAAGAAATGGTGATTTTGAAATAAATGGGACATGAGGACAAGGTAAAAGTAAAACAATGTAGTAAAAAAATGTTAACTTTTTTTTTTTTTATTTTACACAGAGTCACTGAACTACTATTACACTAGGTCACTCTATAGGTGAGGAAACTAGATAGAGGACTGGCTAGGTCTGTAGAAACATCTGGAAGCCCTACAACAGATAGTTATTGAAGTCACAGGAGTAGAAATTTTAGGCAAGAGTTTAGATTATATTCAGTAAAAGACTGTCAACTAAGTTTGAAACTATCATTTTTCTTCAATAAACAGCAATGTTAAAACTAAAAAAAAAATGATAGGGAATGAGAGAAAATGAAGAGAATGATTTGAAAAATATAAATATAACCAATACATTGGCAAAGTGCAAATTCAAAGAGTATGGGAATACTCAAAAAATAGTAAAAAAAAATAACAGAAGAAAAAAATTAAAATAAAGATTTTCACTAGAAACCATAATGTATTTAAAGGTGTATCTTCTTAATTATAAGAATGGGATAAATGAGTTATTGATGGATTAAGAGAAGACTGAGTAGTAAAATAAAAAATAATGAAGTTAGCATACTGCACTGATTAAAATGCTCATTTAAGAGGAAAGTTAAGGAGAGGCTTGAGTGTGTTAAAAGGCAGAAAGGTGAGCTTTATTATCTCTAAATAATTAAATAAAGTTTATGCATTACAGTTGAGAGAGTAGATAAATAATGTATGTTTCAGATGTGTTAGGCACTTTTGAGGGGTGGGAGGAATTACTTTCTGTCACAAGGGAATAGAAATAAATTAATCTCAAGCCACTTTTACTTTTTTTGGTATCATAGGCAGCCTCTAAGCTCAGTGGTATATATTTTAAAAGTACGTGGGACTTAGTAAGTGAACAGACAAAAAGCCCAAATGAAAAATGGTACTGAAAATATAAACAGCAAAGTGAGCAAGTCAATAACTTATATCTGAAAACAGTTTTAAATAATATTCAAACCCAAAGTAGAAAACTTTTAAAATGTAACTCCAAGAGGTATGATATCCATGTGATATGAAAAGTAACTAAAAGTTTAATTGGATATAGGTTTACTTTGACATAACCACTATAATTTAATGGCAAAATTTCTACCAATCAACCAAAGAAATAATTTTTCCTCTACTGCATTCATAAAACTGATGACTTGTACATCTAATGGCTATGAAAAAAATTGTCTTCACAATTCTCTAATATGAAAAGCAAGATTTAAAACAAGTGGAGCATCAAAATAATCTATCCCAAATCCACTTTGTTCCTGATTCGATATATAACTGGAATCATATTCATACTCCATAGGTTTCTGAATTTCATTTTCCTATTTTATTTATTTTTACAAGCAACTTACTTTACTTTGAAACTGTTATTATTTTATATGACATTATTCAAGCTATATAAAAACCATGCACAAGTTTATTTACAATATTGTACATTAAATTACTATGAAGTCACACAAAAAATTAAAAAAAATTGTAACATGGAAAGAGATGTGAAATACATTATTTAGGTGCTTTTTAAAACTTTAAGTACAGAATTTTGCAAAGATTATTTGGTTTATAAGTGTTAATACAAGCACTGGCTTAACATAAGACGAACAAAAACATGTAAATAAGAATTTCAATAAATGAAAAACTAAAAACATTTAGCTAAAAGCTAAAAAATATCATGTAGCTGAAATACTACCATGTAGCAATGGTAATTTATAAAATAGGAAAAGAAGATTATTCTTTAATAGTCTTCCATGAAGACTTAGTAAAATTCTATAAAAACTTTCAGAAATAAAGTTTCTCAAATTATGCTCATCACTAAAATTATATTTTCAATAGCCACTGGAGCTCTGATTTTTAAATATTTATTTATTGTCCTTCAAGTAAAAATTTCTGTTTTCCCCTCTGGGAACAGGGTATAGAAGAAAACCAATCAGTAAATTTAGATTTAAGTAAAAGAGCCTGATACAAACATTACGAACACAGAAGGGGGAACTGTAGTAACTCCAAGTTCACATACTTTTAACTGTATTCTTTAAACAGGAATGTAAACTTTAGGTTTGTTCAATTTAAGATCTCCTATTAGAAGTACCTCGTCTTTGAGAATTTGAAAATATCAATAAAGCATTTCTTCTTTTCCAGGGACAATTCTTTCAGTTTTTACTGTTGTGGCTGAAGTACATTTAGATATTCAGCCTGTCCCAACTGGTAAGTTGTGTTCCTTCCACAGTCAACATACTGGTACCTCTCCTGGGATATCTGTTCAGAGTGTACAAAATATGTTGTTGTCACTGTAACTCTACAAAGAAATAAATAGGGAGAAATATTGAATACTGTATATAGATACATATATAAAATTATTCAATAGTTTTCTACAGTGAGAATACTTTGATACATTAAAATTCTCTCCAGAGAGATTATTTGATTAACTCTGTGGACAATAGGTCTTTTAGGGGATATTTCTCCAATAGACAACAGAAAAGCTGGCTGAGCAGTCCTAGCCAAATAATTATATACAACAAATGCAATTTTTTCAAAACATGTTAACAAACTTAAGTTCATTCACTACTTATTTTAAAATAATGATGAACTTCTTTCACAGGTAAGTTAATGAAATGTCACCTAATGGCTAAAATACCAAATTTGAAATGTTTTACTGACTTAGGATGACACCCAATTTACAAACCCAACATTATTATGATTAATGAGAAACTGAACATTGAGCTAAGAGTCCTCCTCTCTATGCCAAATCAGATAATTTTCCTGAGTCTTACTAGGTCCATATTCACTATTTTAGTCAAGTGATTCTTTACTACTTCTCTCAGCTGCCATTTCCAATTTTGTAAAGTGGGATAATATTTACCTTTTGACCTTAAAGCACTCTTTTAAGGCTTCCAATCCAACTGAGATGGCACTTGTAAAGATGGTGTCTATATTACAAGCCAATGTTTATACATAAATTTAAAGTTTGAACAAGGAAATGTCTCTCTCAAAAAGAAAGCCTCATACTTACTGCATCATGAGCACTATGTTATGTACTTTGATGGATATCAGTGTACAGAAATCACTGTTAAAGGAAAAAACCAATGTGAATAAATGCAAACTATGACATTATAAATTTAAAATACCTTACTTACTATTTATAATAATTTTTTCTAAAGCTAAAATACATTTACTATTAAGTCATAATAAAGAGCATTTACTGGTTGAGAATTTCCTACAATTCAAAGAACATTTACTCATTTCATGACTTCTTATTCTAAAAATATATATGCTTCCACAGTATAGCAATTATAGAGTTGTTTAAAAATGGGCTATGAATTGCTTCTACCATGTTCACCTTACCAAATTTAGTAGCCATTTTGTTCATTGCTTAGAAACTGTACACCAGACGTCCAAAAAAATAGCCTATGACTATAATTATTTTTACTCAATCTCAGTAGTTAACAATCATTTAAATCCAACTTAAAAGCTTCAAAGCTTCAAATCAATAATAGAGTATTAAACATTATTAGCCTACTATTCTAAAATATCAACAAATATAAGAACATAATAAAAAGTAACAGGGTATACATGATTCTAATTCTGAAAAAGTAATCTATATAATAAATTTATGTTAAATAAAGGGGTATATACAGAAAGGTTACATATGCTGAAAAGAAGAAAGGAAAGACTGCGCTGGGAAAAATGTATCAGAGAAGCTTCCCTTTTTTGATTCCCGGAGGATAATCTGAAAGCAGTCCAGAAGAGCACTGGACCCAGAAAGTCCCTTGAGCTGAGGTGAAACTAGAGCATGTCTTGGACATCAGAAACTAGCACTGACTGTGCCAGTTGGAACACCAAGGAAATTCAATGCCATTCAATAAAATACTTTGAGACAAATGAAAATGAGGATACAGCAAATGCAGTAACAAGAGGGAAGTATATAGTAATACAGGTTGACATCACGAAACAGATCCAATAATCTTATCTTGCAACATAAAGAAATTGAAAAAGATGAATAAAACCAAAAAACCGTAGGAGGAAGGAAATAATAAAAATCAAAGCACAAATAAGTGAAACAGAAATTTTAAAAGTCAAAAACGTTATGGAAACCAAGAGTTTGTTCTTTGAAAAAGTAAACAAAACAAACCACTAGTTAGGCTCACAAAGTAAAAAAAGGAGAAAACTCCAATAAGCAGAATCAGAAATGAAGATGAGAAGTTACAACAGACAACTCAGAAATTCCGTATCAGAATAAATCACTATGAACATTTGTATGCCACTAAATTAAATAACCAGAAGAGATGGACAAGTTCACAGAAATATACAACCACTTAAGACTGAATTAGGAAGAAATAGAAAACCTGAATAGACCAATTATAAGCATAGAAATTGAAACAGTAATCAAAGGTCTCCCAAAAAACAAAAGTCCAGGACCAGATATTTTACTAGTGAGTTCTACCAAACCCTGAAAGAGGAATTCTTTCAAAAGAGGGAAACTTTCAAAACTCTGAACAAGAGGGAATACTTCCAAACATATTTGTAAGTTCAATATTACCCTGATAGAAAAACCAGAAAAAGATGCGACAAAAAAAGTAGAATTACAGATATACCCCTGACAAAGATGCAAAAATCCTCAACAAAATTTCTAAAACCAAATTTAACAATGCATTAAAAGGATCATACATTATGACCAAGTAAGAATTATTCCAGGACACAAGGATGAAAGAAAAAAGAACTGAGTTGATCGGAGGCCAAAAAAGAACAGTTAAAAAAATGGTCTTTTCCAATACTTCACAACATACATGAAAATCAACTCAGGATGTTAGACCTGTAACCATAAAAAACATTAGAAAAACACTCCATGACATACATTTCAGAGATAACTTTGCAGATTTGTCCCCAGCAGCAAGGAAAACAAAAGAGAATATAAACAATTCGGGACCAAACTGTATTTTTATACTTCATGTCTGTATCTTTATTCTTCATATTTTCAGATTCAACACAATAAAATAATTAAAAATTCAAACTTACTACATATAACTCATTTCCTCTGCTATGACAGTAGGTACTGTGTAATCAATCTGAAAGGTAAAAAAAAGAAAATAAGCAGAGAAAAAAAAAATCAAGAATTTCAGATATATTTTTTTAACTTCACAGTTTAGAAATCTCTCACTTTCAGTTTGATTTTAAGACTTCTTCTTATACTTGCATAGGATACATTTCAAAGTAAAGTTTTTGAGGAAATCCTCCACCACCCTAAAGTTAATACAATACATAAAACTGAGACTTATTTGAGTCATCCAAAGTATTTCATGACTGAGGCTTACTTGTTTCATATCCCGTGGACCAATATTGGTTATATTGTTTAAGCGTGCCTTTCCAATAACTGTTTTTGAAAACTGAACTTGAGCGGTGATGTTTTCAACTTCAACAGAATAGAAATTATTGTTTGTTATATTTAATGTGTTCTACAAAAGAAAGGAAGCAGAAAATGTAAAACGTTAATCTGAAAATAAGCATAATGAGTACTCCAAATTTAAAGAAAATCATTTCAGTTACGGCAATGCTTTATTCCTTAAATGTCAAAGAATTAAATGAACTAATTTTATTCATGATCACTATATCTATAAATATGCCTATAGTAAACACATAATTAAAATAAAATTTTATTAGATGCAAATTACATGTCTTTACATACTATATTTGTAGGCTGTTTCCTAGTGTATTATATATAGATGGCCATTTAAAACATTAAATGGTACTTTAAGTAAAGTGCTTAAAAAAGTTGTCATTTTAATTTATATATGAATAAATATTTACAATGGGGATAAAATAGGACAGGTTCAAATCCAACCAATTAAAAAAAAGCAGTTATATCATTTCTAAACTAAGTATCATTCCACAATTCTAATTCACAACTACTATTTCAAATTATCTTCAAAAATAGTCAATAAATGTAGGAAAACATGTTAAATCGAGATATTACAGATAAAAGTCTCTAAAGCAATCACAGCAAAAAATACCATAAATAAAACAGACACTAAATGATAAATCTTGAAGAAATATTTCTATAGAAGATACAGCAGTAGTTACCATCTATAATTTCACATGGAGTCCTTACAAATTAAGAAGACAAATATTTAACAGGAAAAAGGAACAAGAATATAACTAAAAATTTTATAAGTACAAATATAAATAGCCAAGAAACATTTTTTCAAATTCTCTTACAGTCAAAGAAACATTAACTCTAGTAAAAATGGAATATTGCTTATCTCTATCAAACTAGTAAAGCTTGCAGAAAGTGACATTTTCTTTCTGGCAGGGACAGGGTAAATATGTGAACCACTAAAGTTATTTTGCCAAGTAATCTTGCAATGGCCACAAAAATAATTAATGTGTATACCCTTGACAGAGCAACACTATTTTTGAGTATCTACTTCACACAAGTACAAATATTAGGCTCTTAATATCAGTATTCTTTGTGGATGGAGAAGCAAAAAACAAAACAAAACCCTTGAAACTAAAAGGAATGCTGATCCTTAACAAAGAATGATTGAAAATTATTATGAGTCATTAAAAACAGTGCACTAACTTTAAACTGGATAACAGATTTCTGCAAAGCATTATCACATAAGAAAACAAACAAATATTTTGTTGACACAATGATTTTAGAAAGATTGAACAAGTGAATTAATATTAATATATGGAGAAAGAAATGGAAAGATGTAATGTGGAATAAGTAGAAAGGAGAATATACTCAGAAAAAATTTTTAACAGATATGCTAGAGATTAAGTATATGATCACATTTATGCATTCATTTAAATTATAGTTATAAATATGAAATGAATTTCATAGATAAGTAATCTTTACTAAATATATAAATATGCTCATCTACTTGAGTCTTAATACCCATATCAAGTCCATTTCTGGACATGATAGGAAAAGAATTATTAATATGACATCAATGGACCTTTTGATACAGATCAAGGAATGGGATTCAGGAGAATCTTGCAATTTTCTATACAAGCAAAAATAATGTCTTTCTCTGAAGTGTTCACAACAGTCATTATTAAAGGGATCAATGATAAAAAACAGGTTGAGATCAAAGAGAACTGTAAGTACTAGAAAAAGATATATTTGGAATTAGGAAAAAAAACCCACAAAAATCAGGAAAGTGAGGAAAAATAAGACAGAACAAAAACTTAGTACTAAAAGAGGCATTTTGTTTCTGAGAGCAGTGAGAATTCACTTAATTTGTAAATCAAGAGTTCATAATCATAAGCTTTTACATAATTTATTATCAAAGACCTTTAGCTATTATCTTTTATTGACATTTTCAGTTTATTCTAAAGAAATGAAATCTAAAATGGAAACAAAATTTTAAGCACAGAGATATTTTGTGAATATTCATAACAGTAAAAGTGAGCATATATTAAGAAAATTATTACAATGTAGCCATGGAAAGAGTTACATGTGACTGACTGAACACTTAATATGAAAATGTAGTGAAATCACAGTTAAAATGCACACGTGGGGCCTCCCCTGGTGGCGCAGGCAGTTGAGTGCAGCGCTGTGAAGCTGTCCACAGCCTCTGCAGTGCCGGTTCGATCCCGGCCAGGCCGGCGAAGGTCCCGCATGGCATGGCAGACCTCTCCTGTCTCGCCAGCTGCTCCCCTCAGCAGTGTATTTCAGACTGTCTGTTCTGTTCCCCGCTGTCTCTGGTGAATCCTCTCACCCTCCCACACATCTGGCCTGTACCCCGGTTCTTATATAAATAAATAAATCTTTAAAAAAAATAAATAAAATGCACACGTGTATGTACTTGCACACTTGTATATGTACCTTTATAATGACAGGAATGTATGACTACATTTGTAACTATATTCAGGTATGTGAACATATATTCATTATTAGCAGATATATACACATTAATAGTTAAGCCCAAATAATAGCAGTAAACATTTTCACATGTTACAGTATTTTTCAAATGTTATCTAAAAGTATTTTTTTATATGTGGAAAGACAATAAATGTTATAAAAAAGCAATGAGTAGTACTTACATATAGTACTTGATGTAAGAAACAAAGCAACATTATTATATACCTTCAACATTTAAAATACTGATAGAGAACCTTCAGATATCTTGGATTTATTTTATTGTCAATAAATTAAATCTAATATACATTTTTTTAAAGATTTACTTTTATTTATTTATGCATACAAGAACTGAGGTGTAGGCCAGAGGTGCGGGGTGAGAGGATTCACCAGAGACAGAGTGGGGAGCAGAGCAGGCGGATCTACTGAAACACACTGCAGAGGGGAAGAGCGGGGAAAAACAGGAGAGGTCTCGGTGCCATGTGTTAGCTCCCTGCCTAGGGATTGGAACTCATGCTCTAATGGCTTGCTATAGCTTGACAGCACTGACTTTAATCCCTGCACCACCAGGGAGGCCCAAATCTAATAATCACTTATTTAAGAATCCTTTTTTATTTAGTTTCTCTCAATTTAATTACAGCTATTATCCCCAAATGTGGGAATTCCTTATTTAAAGTAAAATTATATTTACATGTAAATATACTCTCTGGCATTTAAAATGAAAAGTCACATGGCTTTATTATTTTTTATTATAAATTTATAGTATTTGATATGATAATAGGCTCTGGAGATAGGCAAAAAATATCTGGCCACTGCTATAAACATTGTACAAAAAAGGGAAATTATTGTATGTTCTTTGTTTCAAATGTCTGTTCAAGTAGGAAAAAACCCAACAACTCCCCAGTCACATAAAATGATTTACAATTAGCAATGTGTTGTGAATAGTTTATGCACATATATATATTTGTTCCATATAGTTGTTTTTTAAGAGAAAAACTTAGATTGACAACTTTTGACAGTAAGTTATGGGACTAAGTGGATTCATAGTTTTTTCCTGCCATTAAATAGCAATCCTACTTTAACATACCGTTTTCTTTCACTTCCTATACTGTCCCTCCACCCATCTACCGACACAGGCCTTTCTACTTCAAACACAAGCATACCAACCATATTTGCAAGGAAAACCAATTAAAATCTACTATCACTCTTCCAAACAGATCATGGCCACACAGATAAACTGTGAGGCTCAAAGTCACTAAGGATAGCCAATGTCATAATCAGTGCATATCTTCCTTTTAAAGAACGCAGCAGTTTGCACATACTACTTTTTTGGTTAACATGTAAGACAGGTAGAAGGTCTTCCCTGAGGATCTTGTTTTTTGTTTTGAGGAGTGGAGTAACTGCACAGTCCTAAAAACCAAGGTCCTGGGGAACACAGGGCATTTTCATACATACTAATTTATAGCAAAAGCAATCATGGTCTGTTAATGATGGCAAATCTCTGTTTATTTCATTGTCATTAATTAAACAATATTCAAGGAAAGAAAAATATATTTATAATACCTATCAAATCAACTATATTAATACCTCGGCAGGAGCGATCAGAGCAAATGTTGAAAAACAGACTATAAATACTCCTTTTACATTCAATTAATTGCTTAGTTCATTTTACTCTCCTAAATGCTAAAGAATTCTGTATACATAATTAACAGTGTTTATTTACCATTTTCAGGAGAATCACTAATGGTAAAGAAAATCATTACAGCAAAGGCACAGGTTAACAGGAACAAAGGTTTTATTTAACATGGTAAGAAATAAATCAAATATTTTTAGTAAGAATTTGTACTTACAGTGATGTTCAAATATACCATACGCTTTTGAACATCATAACTGACGTATGCTGATTTAACGCCGATGTATTTCACATCAATAGAGCGAGGGAAAAGGAAATACACAGCCAATCCAGAAAGGAGTAGACAGACAAACACGGAAACCACCACATACAGTTTTCTGAAAAGAAAATGAAGTATTTAAATATATGTGCATCAAAAATTACATAATAAAACATCTATAAAAGATACTTTCAACTGGAGTCTTCCCTTCTTATATTAGCAGATAAAAGATGTATTATTCACCAATATTTTACATTATGAAAGTACTGAGCAGTACTGAGCAGAGTTATGTCTGAGTCTATTATATGTTACAATGTTTTATTTTTAAATTTTTTAATTTTGGGCCTCCCTGGTGGCGCAGCGGTTGAGCGCTGGGTTGCGAAGCTGCCCACAGCCTCTGCAGCGCCGGTTCGATCCCCGGCTGCTCCCCGGCCACTGGAGGAGGGTCCCACATGGCGCGCAGACCTCTCTTGCCGCCCGCTGCTCCCCTCAGCAGTGCACTTCAGTCTGCCTGTTCTGCTCCCCACTCTGGCTCTGGTGAATTCTCTCACCCTCCCGCGCTTCTGACTGTACCCAGTGCTTGTATAAATAAATAAAAATAAATCTTAAAAAAAAGTCTTTAAAAAAATAAATAAATTTTTTATTTTTATATATTTATGCAAGAACTGGGGTGTAGGCCAGAGGTATTGGGAGAGGGGGAAGGAGAGAGGATTCACCAGAGACAAAGTGGGGAGCAGAACAGGAGGATCTACTGAAATACACTGCTAAGGGGAGCAGTGGATGAGGCAGGAGAGGTCTGCTATGCCATGTGGGTTAGCTCCCTCGTGAGGGACTGAACTTAGGCTGCAGAGGCTGGTGACAGCTTGATAGCACTACATTAACCCCTGCGCCACCAGGGAGGCCCTACAATGTTTTTCTTAAAATATGACTTACCCATACACAGTGCTGTAAACTAACCTTATCTCAATAAAATTTTTTTTTAAAAAGATGAAGACTGTGATTTTTAGGCTTATTATAGACAGAACATTAATGCAGTCATTCCCAAACTAGGCTGCATATTAGATTCAAGATGGGAAGTTTCTTTTTTTTTTTAAGATTTATTTATTTTTATACAAGAGCCGGGGTACAGGCCAGATGCGCAGGAGGGTGAGAGGATTCACCAGAGACAGAGCGGGGAACAGAACAGACAGACTGACCGAAATACACTGCTGAGGGGAGCAGCGGGGCGAGACAGGAGAGGTCTGCTCGCCATGTGGGTTGCTCCGAGGCCGACGGGGATTGAACTGGCACTGAAGAGGCAGCAGACAGGCCCACAGCACTGTGCTCAACCAAGATGTGAAGTTTCATAAACACATAGATTTTAAGACTTCTTTCTGAATTCATGAAAGCAAAATTTTGGTACTCTCTCCAAACTAGAGCCAAGTGAGTCCTCCATTTTAGTGGATTATTCTCAGAATTATTTGTTAGAATGGAAGTTTAATAGTATTAACTAGAGCAATTACACATAGTTTGAAAAGGGAAAAAAAAATACAAAAAACAAAACAATTGCCATTTTCTTATAATCACTTACGTTCTTCTTGGTCTTAATCTCTGATCGCTATATGGAATCAAAGCCACCAGTTGATTTTCTTGCCCTAAAATAAAAAGAGAGTTTAAAAACTTACTACATGATTTATTAAAAATATAATGGTTCCCTAGGCAAAGTGGTTTAGAAAACCAGAATATCATCTGATTCTCATCTCATTCCTTTAGTAAACTCTCAAAATCTTCAAAAAGCATGCAGTATAAACGGATGTCCAGAGCAGATATTTTTTTCCATACCTAGATACCTAGCTAATTGAAATAGCATTAGGAATGATAAAGTTCATTCTTGTAACTGTTTCTTACAATGAAAAAAATCTAAAAAGTCCTCACCACACCTTCCTTCAACCTCATAAGACTCTGATTAAGACTCTGATTTGGTTATTTGGCTAAGAACAGAAGCTTCGGGCCTCCCTGGTGGTCCAAGGGGTTAAGCACCGCAGTATAAAGCAATCCACAGCCTCTGCAGCACAAATTCCATCCCTGGCCAGCCAGGGAGAAATCCACATGGTGAGGCAGACCTCTCCTGTCTCACCCGCTGCTCCCCTCTGCAGTGTATTTTGGTCAGTCTGCCTGTTCTGTTCTCCAGTCTGTCTCTGGTGGATCCTCTCACCCCCCACATCTCTGGCCTGTACCCCAGCTCTTATATGCATAAATAAATAAATCTTTAAAAAAAAAAAAAAAGAGAACAGAAGCTTCTGGGCCTTCAGGGTGATGCAAGGGGTTAAGTACCAGCAATATGAAGCTAAGGGCAGTCACGGCAGCATGAGTTCTATGCCAGGCCTGGGAGCTAACCCACATGGCACAGCAGACCTGTCCTGTCTTGCCACCTGCTCCCTCAGCAGTGTATTTCAGTCAATCTGCCTGTTCTGCTCCCCACGCTGTCTCTGGTGAATCCTCTCACCTCCCTGCACCTCTGGCCTAGACCCCAGTTCTTGTACGCATAAATGAAATAGATCTTTAAAAAAAAAAAAATAGAATAGAAGCTTCTTCTGTGTCCTGAAATCCTTTTAACTACCAAGGTTTCTACATTATCCCCCTTGAAAAACCAAAATTGACACATACTAAGTCTCACACAAAAGCCCTTACATAATGAGCCTTCCAGGCAAGAGTCTTTGCAGTCACATAACTCACCACATTAAACCACTTCAAAACACATTATTTTTTTCTTACATTGACCTATATCCATATACTTTAATGGAAACACGGGCTTGTAAATGCCAATTTCCCAAGTTACCATTATTTAACGTTTTATATTACCTATTAAAGCAACATTGACAAATTTAGATCTTTTTTTCCAAGTGTTCCATAATGCTTCCATTATTTGTTCTGGACATTCCACTGCTCTCGTATCATTTAAACTTCCCCCACCACATACACATACACATACAGTTGACCCTTGAACAACAGAGGGGTTAGTGGTACTGAGCCTACACACAGTTGAAAATTATTGTATAAATTTTAACTGTCCCAAAACTTAATTACTAATTGCTTGCTGTTGATAAGAAACCTTACCTTTAACATAAGCCATCAATTAATATATATTTTAAGTGTTGTACTTACTATATACTGTATCCCTATAATAGAGTAAGCTAGAGAAAAGGAAATATTTCAAGAAAATCATGAAGAAAAAATACTTCCATGGTGTTATGCTATATCTATCAATACTGTTATGTTTATGTCCTCTGGTTATAAGAAAATTCTTGTATAAGTGGATCAGAAGTCAAATTTTATAACCCAAACACAATTAAAATTTACTCTTCGCTTGTGACAATGAGCTTATAGAACATTTAAGTTCAAATAACTGATTATAAAGGGGTAGGGCAACAGCCTTGTTTCACACAATGACATGTGAATACAGAAGCAATGCATGACTATATATGTGTGTGTGTGTGTGTGTGTGTGTGTGTGTGTGTGTGTGTGTGTGTACATGTCCCATCTTGGCCAATGGTGTTCATTTAGGTAAGCCACAACCCCAGTCAAAATCAACCTTTTAGCTACCTACATTCACAAATAAATGTGGATAGATGAAACTGTGTTCACTGGTCTCATTTAATATCAGTAATTTCAAATGGTCCTTAATAATACCAACAAACATACAATATATCTGTCCATAGTTTCCATTTTCAGGTTGACTCTCAATTATATTACTTCATCTCTCAAACTTCTAATACCTTCTTCCCTACCCTTACTCATTAGCTCATGGCGTGGCAAAAGGAAGAGAACTTCCAAGAGGTCCCATCACTGCAACCACCACAGCTCCTATATCCATACACTCTATCTGCTCTCCTATCACTAAGAGTAAACTATGTTCCTTTGCAAAAAAAGCCCTCTGCACTTGTGCACAAAAATCTAATAACCTCCCATCTCCAGCATTAACGTTTTCTTTATGGGATCATTCTCATCAGCATATAAACATATTATTCACTCCATTAAAAAAAACAAAAAAAAACAAAACAAAACTCTCTCCTGTGATCCCAACCAATATGACAGCTGAAGAAAGTTCTTGCTTTGCTCCTTGCCCAGGGAAACCATACCCAGAGTCCCATGTTGGCTTGGGGTAAAACTGGAACAGCCCACTGGATATGAGACAACACAAAGCACAGAGGAAACACAGGAGAGAGTCATGTATCATTGAAAAGAAAGTAGGTGGAAAGAAATGCCTGGAGGCTGCAAGATGGAGTGAGGGGACATAAACAGGGAGTCTGGGGTAGGGAGAACAGCAAGCTAGTGGAGACACATGCCCCTGAACAAGGGAAAAAAACATATGGAGGAGTTTGGATGCTCAAGACTACACCCCCTTCCCCACCCATCAGAATTGGTATTTACCTCAAGGTGCACGGACAGTGCACAGACAAAAGAATCCCAGACCTGGAACTCAGGAGGAATATTGGTGGTGTCATAAAGACAAGGCAGCCCCCACAACTGCCAAACATATCACCACCAGCAGTTGGACTTTTCCCAGCACCTTCCCTACCCTGACTCAGCAACAGCAAAAACAGGTCTCAGTAATTACGTAAGTTAGCAAAGGCCAAAAAATCAATTCAAATCAAATCAAACCATAGTGCCATCTGCAGAAAAAGTAAAAGTGCCTCAACTCTCCAAACTTCTGCAACAAATATTTTTAAAAAGGGTAAATTAAAAGCAGCAGGGTGACCAGACAAAAAAATGTAACACAAGGTAATTGGAAAACCTAAGGGAATATTATGTCATGAGAACAAAATTTTCCAAAATATTAACTACAAAGACATGAATGAGTACCATTCTCTGAGTTCAACATTGCTATAATAGAAACTCAAAAGGCAAGACAGAGTGATACGAGGTAACTCAGAAAAGCTAATCAAAGAAATACAAGAGAATTAAGGAAAACCAATGAATAATCAGAAATAAAATGAACAGAAGGTAGAAAATGAAGCTTTGAATCCAAAAATTACAAAACTTCAGGATGCAACTAGCTCAATAAACAAGATTAAAGAAACTCTAGAGTACGAAAATGAACAGTGTAAAAAATAAATATTAAAATAAAAAAACTCTAGAGAAAGCCACAGAAGCAACAGACCAAATAATCAGATCACCTCAAAGACAGTAATGCACAAATGACCCAGGAAGAAAAACAGAAACACAAAGTAAAATAAATGAAGATGCACATTGAGAATTATCAGACTCATGAGGAAAAGCATCATAATGCTGTCCCAGAAGTGGGAGAGAAAAAGGGAAAGAGAGTGCTTATCGAAGAAATAACAGAGAAAAAATACCCAAGCCTGGGGAGGAACTGAACATACATGAAGTACATAAAGCCATAATAATACCTAATTATCTAAATGCAGTGAGACATACACCAAGACACATGGTAGTAAAACAAGAGTTCAAAACAAAACAAGCCCTCTGAAGGTACCTAGGGGAAAAAAAGGACAAAACATAAAGGTATTACCATCAGGCTTTCAATATAGGCAAGGAGAGAATGGAATGACATAAAAAATACTCAAAGAATACAGCCAAGAACACTATATACTGTAAGGCTCTTTCAGATGAGGGAGAATAAAGGCCTTCCCCAACAAACAAAAGCTGCAAAAACTGGCCGACACTAGACCTTCAAGAAATGTTGAAAGGAGTTCTCCTATCTAAATCAAAAAGAAAGGCCACAAAAAAAAAAAACTGGCTATGGATAGAAACAGAAAAGGAGAAAATAGTGGTAGCAGATCCTCATATATCAATAATCACGCTAAATGTGAATTAACTAAACTCACCAATTATGAAGCAAAGAGTGACTGTTTTGAAAAGAAAACAAAACTCAATTTTCTGGACTCTCCAGGAGACCCAGCTGAGTGCCAAAGTAAGCACAGATTCAAAGTAAAAAGTTTAAAAAAAATCCCACAAGCAAATGAGACCAAAAGAAAGAGAAGGATAGTCATACAGAGAAAACAGACTTTTAGTTGAAAAAGATCAACAAGAGACAGGGATGGATATTATATAATAATAGTTTAGGGTACAATACATCAGGATATTAATACTCAAATTCAAGAAATGATGAAAACTAGATAACTACATGCAAAAGAATAAAACTAGATCCCTATTTGACAACCATACACAATAGATAACTCAAAATGGATTACAGATGTAGACATAAGACATAAAACCTAAAATACACAGAAGAAAATACAGGTAAAACATTGAAAAAATGAATTCAGGGATTTCTTTGGGGACTGACAGTAATGGCAAGGGGTGCAACAACAAAATTAAATAAATGAAACACCAAGCTAAAAAACTTCTGTACAGTGAAAGAAAGTATGATTTAAGGCATGATCATACAGATAAGGGTATAATATCTAAATTACTCAAAGATGTCGTAAAACTCCACAGCAAGAAAACAACCCAAGGAATCAGTGAAAGAGTTAAATAGACACTTCTCTAAAGAAGACAGACAGACAACAGGCATATGAAAAAAAGTGCTCGTAATCAAATTTCATCAGAGAAATTCAAATCAAAACTATAATGAGCTACCACCACATACTCATGAAAATGGCCAATATCAAAAAGGAAGAAAGAACAGTTGTTGGTAAAGTTGTACAAGAAAGGAAAATACCCCATCCAACAATATTAGTGGGAATGCAGACTGATACAATTCCCATGGAAAACAATATGGAGGCTCCTCAAAATGTTAAAAATAGATCTACCATATGACCTAGCAATTCCAAGGTATATACCTGAATACAGAAATACTAAGTCAAAAAAATATATACATTCTCATGTTCATATGGAAACAATGTAAGTGCCTGAGAATAGATGAGTGGATTAAGAAGAGTTGTATGTTACACAATGGGATATTACTCACCAATCAGAAAAGATGAAATCTTGCCATTTGTGACAACACAGATGGAACTGGAGATTATGTCAAGGGAAGTGAGCCAAAAGGACAAAGACAGATACTAGACAATTTCATTCATACAAAGAAAAAGGCAAAATTAAACCAAATAAACTCTAGAAATCTGACTACGGAATTGAGGTTACCAGAGGTTAATGGGGGAAGAGGGAGAGCAAAATGGGGAAGGGGCACAAGGAACTATGCTGGGGGATTATGTGTGTTCTGATGGTGGCTGGGTGTGGTAATATACATCTGAAGAACTGTGATTCTACACCCTATATCACACAGTTTTTAAATCAAAGTTACAATAGAAATTAAAAAAAAAAATTAAGTGATTACTTAAAAAAAATCCCTCTCCTGATCTCATCACTTCCTTCAGCTATCAAATCTCTTCTCTCCTTTCAGCAAAAATCCTTAAACACTTATTTTTTCTCACTATATAAATCAGCTCCTCCTATGATCTCTTGATCTTGGTTTTGGAGGTGTGAAAAGCTGACATCTGAGAAACCATCTTTAAATGAAGCAAGGGAGTTATTACTGAAAAACTGTATTATCTATCTACACTGAACTGGGCTAAAGACCTTTCAAAAAACAATAGTCTTGGGCCTTCCTGGTGGCGCAAGGGGTTAAGCGCAGCACTATGAAGCTATCCTCAGCCTATGCAACATGAGTTCAATTCCCGGCTGGCCAGGGAGATACCCACATAGCGCAGCAGACCTTTCCGGTCTCACTGCTCCCCTCAGCAGTGTTTTCAATCAATCTGCCTGCTCTGCTGCCCACTCTGTCTCCGGTGAATTCTCTTACCCTTCTGCACCTCTGGCCTGTACCCCGGTTCTTGTATGCATAAATAAATAAATAAATCTTTAAAAAAAAAAAAAAAAAAAAAAAGGTCTCCAGTGGCTGCTACTGCTACATCACCAAATCCAATAGTTAGTTCTCAGTCTTCACATTACTTTGTCTGTAGGTAGCATCTGACATAGTTGATCACTCTTTCCCCCCTGGTATTACAGAGGAGAAAATATAATTTTCCCTCTGTCCTTTTAAGTTCTTAGTTAATATATCCTTGCAGTAAATTACAGACATTAGCAGAAACACAAACAAAAGTAATATGTATACCTCCTGCATATATGGCAGTTACCCAGGAAAACTAAGTAGTCAAAACAGCCTAAGCCATCTCTTTAAATAACATTTTCAGATAAGGGTAGGATGTGGGGAAGGAATGGGAAGAAGGTCAGTTATGAGAGGTTATCAGGAAAGGACTGTAAACAAGGCATGGTATTTATGCATATTTAAGTTTCTGCTTTTTCCACTGATAAGAAATAGAGAGATTTGATCACCCACCTATTCTTGGGTACTGTGAGGGGCACACCCAGAAAAATGGATTTTTGTTTATACATGTAAATATGTCCTATAGAATGGTGAACTTTTTACTGAGTTTTTCCTATGTTTGTTGTTTCTTAAAAATAACTAGGTCAAAAAAATATACACCGAAGAGACATATTTTGAGGTAGCAAATTTTGCTTCCCTTGTTCATTTTTCATTCATCTTCTAAGACATCACAGGAAACAGGGTTTTCTTCTACTCTAACTGCTCTTTTTCAGAGTCCTTTGCTCAGTTTTTGCCATGTCACTGACTTTGAAATGCTAAAATGCTCCAAGGTTCAGTGTTAAGGTTTCTTCTTTCTATTCACACTGATGAGCCTGGTACTTTCGTCCAACTGGCTTTGTCATCTATGTACTGAGGGGACCACTAAGCCTTTATTATAATTGTTTACTGAACACATCAAATAGTAAATATACATCTCCAAATGACTATATCTAAAATCGAGCTTATGCTCTCTCCTATGACACACAGTCAAATCATTTCTCTGTCTTACATTGGTGGTAGAGTGGTGAGCATAGCTGCCTTCCAAACCTTTTCTGTATCTTTTTTTTTTTTTAATTTTTTTTTTTATAGAGGCATGTTTTATTTATTTATTTTGTTTGTTTGTTTGTTTTGTTTATACATGCACTGGGTACAGTCAGAAGCGCGGGAGGGTGAGAGAATTCACCAGAGCCAGAGCGGGGAGCAGAGCAGGCAGAAGGACCGAAGTACACTGCTGAGGGGAGCAGTGGGCGGCAGGAGAGGTCTGCGCGCCATGTGGGATCCTCCGCCGGTGGCCGGGAAGCAGCCGGGGATCGAACCGGTGCCGCAGAGGCCGCGGGCAGCTTCGCAACCCAGCGCTCAACCGCTGCGCCACCGGGGAGGCCCCTTTTCTGTATCTTAAGAAATATTCCATTCTTCCTATGCTGGGGGGAAGAAAATGTTGGAGTTAGCCTTGATTTCTGTTTACCCACAATCCTATTCTGGACTTATATCACATACCAACTTCAAGCAAGCAGAAAATGAGACTAGCACCAGGTACATTTATTATTTCTATTGTTGCCACTACAACTAAGGTAGCTTTCAAACAACACAGGGGGTTATTCTCTTCTGTCTTCCCCCATGATATGCCAGAAACATATTTTTTTTCTGTTTGGCTCATGTTCCTATACCAACCTCCCTCATGTAATTCCTTTTCAAAATAATTATGGTATGATCAGCTTATTATTATTTTTTAGATATTTAAAAATAACACGTCACCAAATCATTTACCTTGCTCAGAACACAAATTACAGCAAAGAGACATGATAGGAACTCAAATGATGTCAAATATAACTAAAAGTTTTCAGTCAGGAGACAAAGTATATTTGCTTTCACAGCACATAAGAAAGAAAAAATTTTGGAATTAAAGTGGTAGTTCACATTACTGCTTTAACAACCTTAATTCATACTTCCACACTTTTTTTTGGTGTTGCTTTAACTAAAGATAACTGGCAGGCAGTTTTAACTTTAATCCTGAGTCTTTAAAACATAAAGGGTTGTGCTTAGACCTATGGACTTTAATATTTGTTCAAATGCCAAGAAGCATAATTTAAAGAAAAAACAATGTGACATTACATACCCCTAGGAATTCTTCCTGTTCCTTGACAAGTGGGGCAAGTGACACTGTCTCTTCCTGTAAATTCCACATATGGAAACTGAGAGACATCTCCATTTCTTGTATCTTCATTATGGACTTCATTATTAATCAATCCATTCCTGATATTTTCAGTTGATGTGAGTCCATCATAGGTGTCTTCATTATTTGAATGCAAAGGTAAATGAGAAAAAGACTTTCCCATGTCTAAAAATAGAGGGGAAAAATACACTCAATACTATAGATTATTTAAAATACTAAATATGTAGATATACTAAGTCAAAAAAATGAATGTAAAAGAACACTATAGGCTATTTATATAAATTTAATTAATTAGGACAAGCTTTAAACTATTTTTTAAATTAGAATTACATTCAATCAAAATAATGTGGAATATGGGAGCTTAAGTCTAAAAGTATTTTTCTGACAAAATTTTATGAAGCAAAATCATATAAGACTTTTGATGAAAATGGGCTTTCAAAGAACATTAAAATTTGACAAATGTCTACACTTTCTGAAAAGAAAAAATGCAGGCATCACTTTAATTAAAATAAAATAAAAATACTTTCAACTTTTAAACCAATTAGCTCTGAAGGCAACAGCTGCCTTTGGCAGATTACAGTTAAGTATCATACAAGGTAATTTCAAAGTAGCATTTTTTAGCTTTTTAAAAATTCATACTCCTTTGTGACAAATAAAATTCACAATCATCATTCTCACATTTCATGCTTTAAGCATTTCAACATCTACAACAAAACCAGTTGACATCAAATCCTGCAGGTTTTTCTTTCACTTAACAACTAGCAGAGTTAAAATAACAAAATTAACATTCTAAAATATTAAATATAATTCATCAATAGAAAGCAGCAAAATTTGGAACATTAACATGCAAAATTTTAGGACAGTGCAAAAATAACACCGGGAAAACTAAATACAAATTTAAAGTCAAGTAAGATTATTTAGTACTTGAATCTTTACAAAAATGACCTCTGCAAGTAGGAAACACAATAACATTGCAGTTAAAACTTTAAATCATATAATCCAATCTGCTGATATTCTCAGGGAAAACTAATAAAGGGGAACATCAGAATTTAAAAATAACATATCTTTTCTAAATTTGACCATATATTTTTTATTGGTTTCTAAAAATAGATTAATATAGCTACTATAAAATGAATTGTTCACATAGTGTTTCTTTTAAAAATTCCTATTGACTTGACCAAATAAAACCAACACTAAAACCAACACTAAACCAACAATTTATCCTACAGTATGAAGAAAAGTTTGCTTTTGAAAGTTGGCATGTCACCATTACTTTGCAGTAGCTCACAGTCTGTAAACAGCAGAATAAAAAAATCATGAAACAGACAAAATTATAGAATGGGGAATAATGCTTATTTCTACTATTTAAAAAATCTACTCATAAAATAACCACGTAAGTTCAAAAATATCAATGATTTATGACTTTTACAAAAGCATTGTGTTCTCTTAATTTGGTTAAATATTAAATCCAAGCCAAAGCAAGACTTGGCAGCCACAGGTGGTTCAGGGGTGAATTAACATCATTGTCCCCAAACTGTGACCTTGGGGCCTAGATGAAATGGGACCCATGGGGCTCAGAAGCCTTTCCAAGATCTGAGTTAACATAACAGGTGAGTTAAGGTGCATCCCACTGCTAAGTCTTACTGGGGAAAGAACATAGCAGGCAACACCAGGTGACCACTCTCAATGTGGGCTTGTTTTCTTGCTTTGATAGAGGTTTAAGGGGCCAAAGGCTGGACAAGCCAGCCCTCCCTACTGGATTTTCCTCAGGGCACTTGTACATTTAAACATTTTAATTCTTGAGGACTTGTTGGTTTACAAAGAGGTGCTAGGCCTGCTTCTCTTCTCTGGGCTGCTTATATATTTTTCATTGCGACCTCTTAATTTTCCGAAAACCAACACAGATCCAGACCCAGCACCGAGAGGAAAAGAAAAATAAAAAAAAAAGTATGGGACTCCATCCAATTTAAAATGGGTCGTGATCTGTGAGAAAGAAGAAACTCTGAGCCTCTCATACGCTACATAAACAAAACCCAGCAGCACACAGCCTACTCCTGAAAGGTTAAAAACATGATCCCGCAACCATGCAAGACTCAAGATAACAAAACCAGGGCCGCCGAGTCAACCAAGGTGTGTGTTGTAGGGGGAAGGGGGGTGGTTCTGCAGGCAACCGCGGGCGCTAGCCCAAGCGTGAGCCCCCTGGCAAGAGGCTGGGCCCAGGAAACAGAAGGTGACAACATCTTCGACGCCCAGTTCTAAGCGCCGCCCGGACGCCAGGCGCCCCAGCTCCCAGCTCCGAGGCGGCCTTTCCTCCCGCCCGCTCGGCTCTAGCCAAACGCCGCTGCTCAGCCGCGCTCCCGGGCAGGAGCGGCCGGGGTCGCTTACCTGCAGGCGGAGCGCGGCGCGGCCCCGGGCAGCTCCGGCGCAGACAGGGTCAAGGAGTCCGCAGCCCCAACAGCGAAAGCTCGACCCGCAGGCCTGCGGCGCAGGGCGACCGCGGAGGAGGGGCGCGCGAGGGGCGGGGAGGAGGCGGGGACGCGGCACGTTGACTGCAGCTGCCGCGGCCCCGCGCTGGTGCAATCTGCGCCCGCGCTTGCGCAGAGCGCTCCGGAGGGGAGGGCTGGGGCCCGGGAGCGCGCACGACGCATGCGTGCGTCCTCGCCGTCGCGAAGCCGCGGGGCACAGAGGCTGCGGGTCTGCGCGCTCTCGGTCTAGTTACCTTGGTCTCCCCAGACTTGGAGGTAAAATTTGGCGTCTCTAGCCCTGGAAGGTTTAGAAATAATCGGAAAGGGAGTCACCCCTCCCTGTGTCCCGTCAGCTGTGTCCTTTTGCAGCGAGGAAAAACATGACTTCTCCACGGTCTGCGAGTCGCCCCTAACCCTGGTGCTGAGTGGGATAAGTTGGGTGGTAGGTGCTCGGCGGGAAGCGGGGCAGTTCTATTTTTAAAGATTTGTTTATGCACACAAGAACGGGGCTACAGGCCAGAGGTACGGCGGGGGGGGGTTAGGATTCACCAGAAGAAGAGTGGGGAACAGAACAGGTAGACTGAATGAAATACACTGCTGAGGGGACCAGCGGCAAGACAGTCTGCCGTGCCATGTGGGTAGCTCGCTGGCCAGCCAGGAATCGAACTCGTGCTGCAGTGGCTGCGGATAGCTTCGTAGGTTGTGTCTTAACCCCTTGTGCCACCAGGGAGGCCCCCAAGTCTATCTGTTTTCACCCAGAACCTCTTGACCATTAGAAATTAACTGTAAGCGGGCAGGAACCCTGTTTTTACTTGTTTTGTTTTTGGTTTTACATCTGCCTTTGCACATGGTGCCTACACCGCCCCTCTCCGTTCTCCTTAATGGTTACTAGTGTGTGAGAGCCCATCTGAAAGCCTGAGATTCAACTAATTTCTGTGACTTGGGGCTTTTCTCCCCGACTTTGTAAAGACTAGTTTAGTCATTTAGAAAGCGAAAATAACAATGCAGAGTTGTTTTGAGGTTAAATGAGCTACTAGAAGTAACTGTCAAGCAAAGATTAAACGCATTGCCCGTAGAGAGTTTAATATTTAATTGGTAGCTGTTGTGATATGGTCACGACATAAATAGTAACCGAGATAGGGTTTGACAGTAATTTATTTCTGTCTTTAAATTTTATATTCTTGAGGGCAAGATGCATGAGATTTTCTAATTTATACCCACCACTGTTGTTTTAGACTTACATTCTTTCACTATATAAACTTTTCTAAGTTTTATGCCAGGCAGTTAGGCAATATGTAGGAAGAGTATTACATTTTTCAGTTTTCACATTCTTTATCTCAGCAATCCAACCCTTCGGAGTTTATTTTAAACTTAATCAAACTCTAGAGATTTTTGTTCAAAGTGTGTGCATTTAAATAACCTAAATTCCGACTATGATAAATTGATGAAGCTACTTGTTAACTTTTCAAACTTCCTTTCTTCCTTTGGGAGAGTGGTTAAATTGTCTTCAACCCCTCTTATTTAGCCCATATCTTTCTTGAGATGCGGGGGAAATATCCTCCACTAACACTATTGAAGTTTCAAAAATAAATAGCGTGGCTTAAAAAAAAATCAGACTCTTGGGGGAAAACAACAACAACTTCCCAGTCTGCGAGTCTGATTGTGGAAATTACCCTACTCTTAGAATTATAGGATAATTTTTCTTATAATTAAATTATGTAATAACTATACAATGACCTCTTGTAAGGGCAGTAAAAATTATGTTGTAACTGTTACATGAGCAATGATAGTAATATACCACTAAATAATGTAGTGTGCAATCGATGAATGTGAAGACTTATAGTTGGCGTAAAACATTCACACTTAGAGCATACAGATATAAATAGAAGGAAATACAGAAAATTTAAAGTTAACATTTTAGCTTGAAACTTATTTCTCTATTACATTGTTTTAACAAATGTTTCATAATTTAGTATGTTTTTAATGAAAAGAATGAGGTGTTACTTTTTTTTAAGATTATTTATTATTTATACAATAGCTGGGGTACAGGCAAGAGGCGTGGGAAGGTGAGAGGATTCACCAGAGACAGAGTGGAGAACAGAACAGGCAGACTGACTACAATACACTGCTGACGGGAGCTGCAGGGCACGACAGGAGAGGTCTGCTGCGCCATGTGTGAATTTCCCTGGCTGGCCGGACTCGAACCCACGCTGCAGTAGCTGTAGACAGCTTCATAGCGCTGAGCTCAACCTGCTGTGCCACCAGTGAGGCCCTGAAGTGTTACTTTTTTAAAAAAATACAAGGGAGTAGTTAGCTATTATTTTCTCAATTTATCACTTAGTTAAATATAGGCCATGGAGCATGTCCTTATCTGAGTAACTGGAATTCACCCAGGAGTAAAAAGATCTCTGTAACAAGCAGTTTAGTTCTTAAGAATACAGCAGTCAGAGCCAGATTTCTGAGGATGAGCCCAGCCTGACTAGTATATACAAAATGTGAAACTGTGGACAAGATAATTTATTTATACCTGAATTTTATTATCTATAAAATGGAGACAGTAATATGCCTGTATCAATGAATTGTAGCCAGGAGTTGATTCATGTAAGTTGTTCAGTAATTTCCTAGCACTGGTGTAACAAACTTATTTTCCATGTAACACTGAAGTGTTTTTAAAAACAGCCTTTGCATACTTGATGTCTTTCCTCCTCTACTCTGATTTTTTTTAAATCATTAAACACAGTTTGAAAGGTAAGTTAGCTGAAAAACTTGTAAATATTGCTTTAGTAATATTTTCCTGAGTTCAGCTTCAGTTTCTATGCTGTCATATATAAAGGCCATATTATTTTAGAAGTCCATGATAACTGACTAGGAGATAATTCTTCCATAATTACTGTGCAGACTAAAGGGTGCCCCAGGGCCCCCAAACTTGTATGCTCTAAATGGGCTCTGCCATCTGCCACATAAAGACAAAGCATACTCAGTGTGAAAGAACTTTAGTAGGATAGCATAGAGAGAAAAGAGAAGTTAGTATAATACGTTCCCAAAAAAACACCCAAAGTTACCTGTCCCTGTGTGGGTGAATGCCTAGCCTAACAGGGTTGGCCTAAAAAGCGGGGCTACCTTCTGGTAGGGAACTATAAGAATGGTACATAAAGGGCCAGGCAAGTCCGGGATAAAAGGAGCAAATCAAAGTACAAATCAAGATAAAGGCTGCCATTGTTAGCCTCCCCTTGTGTTTCTCACCCATGTAATTCTTCCATGTCCCCTAAATCCCTGATGCAAGTGCAAGGCTGAGAAGCAAGTATGACTTCTTCATGTCTCTATTCCAAATGCCTTTTTCAAGTCTTTTCCCGCTTCCCTCACCACTCAGATCCATGGTAGGTCGACAGGGAACCTGGAACCTCCCCTTTTTATGGAGGTTATGCTCTAATAACTCCTCTCTGTAACAGTAGTGTTCACCATTACTACTGAAACGATGGGCTTTTTCCATGTTTAAATCTTGAAAACAGCCTTTTCTCACATTCCCAGCTTTTTTTTTTTTTATGATATATATTGCTTTACCACTTTCCTCTTTAATCTCCTGTAATAGTAAATCACCCAAATCCTAATAACAGCTATATTACAAAAATGACTTTATTAGAAAATTTCTTTGATTTAAAACTCATCAAGCAATAGAGTATTTCTGCTCTGCTTGAAACTGGGAGGGATTTCTCTTGATAAACAGGAAACAAGTCACCCTTTATGACCTCCAAATGAAGTCATCAAGGACAGTCTTCCACCTGACTTTCTTTCACTTGGGAAGCTTATCCTCAGTACCTAGCCACTGTACGAGGGTGCAAGATATCATCCAGTACCCCTCTGGGTTCGTCTAGGCTGGCAAACAATCAAACAAGCATCAGACAGATTAACAGAAAAAGCCAAAAAAAAAAAAAAAAAAAAAAGTTGAAAATAACCTAGATAATGGGAGAGGCTCAGCATGACTAAGCAACTTGAGACATCTTAAATAGTTAAGAGGACAAACTAGGAGTGGGGAGGGAGGAATCAGAGAGATTATCATAAAGCACAGTACAAAACATAGGCAGATTTAAGTTCTACTTTCTTCATTGAAAAGTAATAAAGAGATTTGGTCTTCCTGAGAGAGACCCTTACTGAGCAAAGTTTACATGTAAATCATGTAATTATTGAAAGCAGTTTCCACTCATCCTTCAGAGCCTCTCCCATGAAATAAATTCCTTGCCAAAAGGATGTATTATGCGTGGCAAATTTTTGCCCCCCTACACTATCTTGTGAGAAAGTCAAATTGTCACAAGGAGATGCCACATGTAGGTGTGCTGGCTCTCTGATTCAACTGAGTCCTCACCAAACACCAGACAGTGGGTAAGTCTTCAGATGTTTACAGCTCCCAACCTCCAGCTAGGTGACTACTCCTGATTTCACCAAGTGGAGCATGTTCCTGTGAGCCCAGCTCATGCTGCAGATTATGAACAGAACAAATGTGCCTTACTGTTTGAACCCACTAAGATCCAGGGTTACTTGTTACTCAGTAGTAGGTAACAATAACATAAACCCATTCAAATTCCACAACCTTGTAAGAAATATGCTGTTTCCCTTCTTTTTATTTATTTTTATTTATTTATTTATTTATTTTTAAAAAGATTTTATTTAATTCTTTATACAAGCACTGGGTACAGTCAGAAGCACGGGGGGTGAGAGAATTCACCAGAGCCAGAGTGGGGAACAGAACAGGCAGACTGATGAAGTACACTGCTGAGGGGAGCAGCAGGCAGCAGGAGAGGTCTGCTCGCCTTGTGGGACCCTCACCCGGAGGCTGGGGATCGAACCAGTGCTGCAGAGGCTGTGGGCAGCTTTGCAACCCAGTGCTCAACCGCTGTGCCACCAGGGAGGCCCTGTTTCCCTTATTTTTACATGAGTGAAAACAAACTTACTGAGGTGAAGCCATTCCCCTCCCCCATCACAAAAAAACATAGCCAGACTTTTGTCTGGCTCAGAATCTGCTTTTGTTGCTGCT